TTCAAAGGTTATGAAGGGGCAGTAACAGCAGACAGTCGTACGCTTTTGTAGATTAGTAAAAGCGATCCTTGTGCATCCTCCATAATCTTTTCAATATTAGTAGACCTCTCTTATTGATAGAATAACATGTATTTGGAGAAATTGATACTTTTTCCTTGTGGCTCGGAGACCCTAGAGCTTTCTAACGCTCCCCTAGACTAATGTGCGTTCTGCGCGTATCCATCGAACTGCATCAAACACCATTATTTTTGAAGAATTAATAGTAAAGTGTACAGACAAAATGAAAGCATACAGACAAGAGAGAGCGTGGGCAGAGAGAGAGCGCGTCAGTGTTTTTTTGTTTGCAGTCTAAGAAAGGTCATCCAGAATTTGTATCCAAAGAGAATGAAATTATTCAAGTACACACACACACACACACACACACACACACACACACACACACACACACACACACACACACACACACACACACACACACACAACACACGCACACACAACACACACACAACCTATATATTTTTTTTCATAAGCTTCACCCTTTGTCGGCATCCCCTCACAATGAGAGCACGGTCGGTGTCTAGTGCGTTAACGGCGGTCGAGGCTTCAGCAAACCGGTTGTTGTGGGTCGTTTGCGCAGCTCAGACGAGCGTGCATGTGTATGGGGTCCTTCATTTTGGAATAGGTTAGGTTAAGGCTCTTCGAGTCATTTTTGCACATTTTAGGCCGCGGATTTTCGGATATTAGATTCTCGTGTTGATAAGCTGTACAGTAGCCTAGTATATAAAAATAACTTCAACTGTGTTAACTTACTTTAGCAGATACCTACATGGTTAATGGAGGCTTTGTCATTGTTAGACTCGGTCGGTACTATTTAAGAATAAATGACTTCTTGATGTTCTTACAAGACTGATATACTTCACTGTCTGGTGCACCCGTCCTGTGAGTGTTCATTGCCTATTTGCGTGTCACTTTGGTGTGCAATCTCATTCCAAGTGTCGACTTGAAATGCGGTTTGTCAATTCATGATGCACAGTTATACAGTTTTTTTTCCATTGTGACACTTGGGGACATAGTCTATCTTTCCAATGGCCACTTTCCCTCCAAGCGCCACTTACTATTCCGAGTACCACTGTGGAATGTAGTTTATCGTTCCAAATGTCACTCTGGTATGCATTTTTATTTATCGAATTGACACTCTTTAATATTATTTCAAGAGTAAATTTGGAATGGAATTTACCATTCCAAATGTTAGTCTGAAATTCCCGTTTTCTTGTAGAAAAAATATATAAATGACAATTTCCGTCTCTAAGGCCGGTGTGTTAAAATTGAATATTGTACAGACATGCATATATACAGAAATAAATGCATATACGTCAGTCTAGACATGCATATATCTACCGCACAGATAGATAGATGAATGTAAATATATCTGATAGATAGACATATGCATCTAGTTCTGTGTATATGCATGTCACTATTCCCGAATATTGACTGGGTCGGGCCTTGCACAATGTTAACAAACCGGCCGTAGAAACTTGAAATGGGTGTCAACTAAATTTTCATAAACTTTTCATAAACCTTAACATTTTCTCAACTAATTCATCTATCATTATTTTGCATAACATTTTTCAAGATTAGTTCTCATGTGAATGTAATGATAGGCAATTTTAGTGCGATTAGGCTTAATTGACTATACCCAGTTATCAGCACTAAGAATAATTTAATCAATTGATGATTGACAGTTAATTCAGGGAGATTATTTGAATCCAGACGGTGTGCATCATATCCTCTCAAAAATGGGAGAAAAAGTGTAAATTATTGAATGGTTAATAATTTTAAAAATATGTAGAATTACACATTTAGCTTAACACCTATTAATGATTAACATATCAAACCACCAATATGAATCACTGCAACTACTTGGCGTGTAATTGGTCTTCTTTTTAGTCGAATTAGCAACTGTTTACTAACATCAGTGTTGCCATTTTAGACAAGCGAAGCTGGAGACGAAACTTCATTAGTGTGTGCGTGTCTGGCATCTTAATTCTCTCTCTATATCTGTCTATGTGCGTGTGTTTGTGTGTTTGTTTGTGTGTATGTGTGTGTGCGCGTATATATATGTATGCATGTATGAATATATATATATATAATATATATATATATACATATATATATATATATAATCATGTATACACACACACACACACATGCATATGTATATAAAA